AATTCAGTTCAAAGGCAGGAATGCAAGTCCTTCTTTGCTTCCTGAAAGGAGTCTCTGTCTTGATAGCCTTGCAGAAAGTCTCAGACAGATTTTTCTTTCTTCAGATTCTTTTGAAAGCCTAGTTCATTCCAATCAACAAATATAATATACATAATATATATTAATGAGTGTAGGAGTTTTTTGATACGTTATCATAGTGAGTATTCCATTTGTTCCACTACTTGGACCTTTACCTCAATTTATCAGTTGTTAAGACATCTCAAAAAGGTTACTTGTACATTTCAAGGATGGAAAGAATTGATCAAATAGGAATCCCCAGAATAAATTCATTGCTTATAGTTAATTTATATTTGTTAGATATCCAGATAATTCATACCTTAAGAACACCTCTTGCCCTGTCAAGAATGAAAACTGAAGGTAAGTAAAGCTTAAGGGGCAAGAGTTCAACTGTGTGTATTTAAATAGAATGCAAAAAAAAAAAAAAAATCCTTAGAGTGGAATATATTCTCAGTGATTTGTGGCTCTTCATCACATATTTATCTTTCAAAACATTATTGGTTGCCACAAGGGGAAAGAAGGAACTATCCTTGAAACAACGTGTTCCTATGGGGAAAAATCTACTGAATATAAGTATGTAAACAATTTGTTCCACCAATTAATGCTATTTTAGTATATTTTTAATGACCAAGGTTATTTTTCCTAGGCCTTGAAATAGTGCCACAGATCTTTTCCTTACTGACAATAAAAACAAGGAGTCTGTTATATATATTTTTAATTTATTTGATATACAGTCATACCTACCTCCCCCCCCCACAAATATACATAAAAACTGAAGGGAACTGCACAGAAGTAATATGGCAAAAGACTAGAATTATGAAAAACAGACTTCACATGCTGTGATGCATGTTAAATCTTTATTCCCTTTTATATGTAATTCAGATCCAGCAACTTCTAATTATTATTGCAATGGCACAAAATGTATGTACACATGGATATATGTGTTCAATTTGTATCAATTAAATTTGCTTATTTCTCTTTCATGCATTTTTATCTGATTAATCTACTGATTTAAAAAATACTTTCTGACTGGAGCCAGCCCATTCATTTTAACTAAATGGGCAAATTAGTTCTGAGTGCATGACTTGGTACAAAAGAGAATTCAGCTGTACATGTGAAATTTTCTGAATCTGTGTCTAAGCACATGCATAGGTATACTTTATAAGGGATATTGCTGAATCTTCCCTCTGTTCATTTTGAGATAGGATGTTAGATCTCACTGATGTGAATGCCCCTCTATGCTGAACATAAAGACATAAAGAGTTTTATTTTATAAAGATATTTAACAGTGGCATAAAGAATATTTCAAGCTGTCTGTAATGGTTATATGAGATTGTAGAGCTATTGTTTTGTAGATCTAAGTCAAGAAAATCCTCCTCAACCTCAGCCATGACTTTCTGTTTTCCTGTACAACATGGGCTGGGATTTTGCAGTAAACAAGTTCAAAAACTATTTGCTTCTTCCAAGAGGAAGTATATTTTTCTGTATGCCAGGGATTCAGATCCAAGTATCTGTTTAAATCATTTTTTTTAATAATTCATATCTGGTTTGATAATTACCTTTATAAAGGATTAGGAATGAATAATTGCAGACAAAGGATGATTGTTCTCTGAAACATACTAATTGCAGATGTACTGAACATCTGTTGCAGGACATGCCCATGACCGTGATATAGCCCAGGCTGCAAAGTACTGTGTGCATATTGTGATCTGTAAAAAACAAACCAACACCCAGAGTCTCGCCTGTCTTGGAGAAACATCTCTCCCCCCCCCTCCTACACACACACGCATGCTTCTTCTCAGGCCTGAATGGAACAGAATGGAGTTTCCAACACATTTTGTTTTGGGCTGTTTTATTTGAGATACTGTTTGCTTTGCCTCCTTCTAGCTTTTGTTTCATAGAGGGAAGGGGATTTATAGAACTCTGATCTACTTCCAGATCATTTCTCCTAATAAAGATCCATTGAGGGAAGGGGAATTTATGGCCCTCCATAGGATGCAGAACCACAATTCTTGTAATCACCCATGAGGAGAATTTCCAAAAACCCCACATAGTTGTGGAAAAGAAAGATATCTTACTTGCTAGGTGTCAATCTGAATTCCTTTCTCCATATTCAGTCCCTTACATTCTCTGGACACCAGTCTAAGTCTACTGCAGCATCACCAGTCTGGTTGAGGCTGGGGGAATGTATAACTGAGTGTTAGCATACTGATAACACCTCACCTCAATCCAGTAAATGACCTAATGCAAGGGAGCCTCAGTAAGAGATTTGTGGTTTGGATCTCTTCCCTAATAACCTGTATTCCTTAGAAATGGCTCTCCATTATGTTCAGAATCATGGATTCCAACATCCTTTACTATGTTGGCTGGGTGCTACTAAGTGTTGTACTGCAGCAATTTCAGGAGGTTCAAATGTTATGCACCCCTGAAGTCTATTTATTTATATCACAAATCTTTTTTATGAATGTGGAATAAAAGCTTGACTTTCTGTAGAGAACTAAGCTGAAAATAGACAGAAAATTAAAGCAAAGTTAAATATTACTTGACCATTCTGTTTTTTCTGTCAAGGAATTCACTGTGTACTGTTTATAGTTTTTTAAAAATATTATAGAGTGTATTGCTGAAACTTACGATAGATGACATTTTATCCAAAGACATGCACATTTGAATTTATACATATGAATGTATATTTACATGAATTCAGTTCAAAGGCAGGAATGCTGTGTTTCTGATTTAGATCTAGCATGTTTCCATTAAGAAATATTTTATTTTAATTTATGAGAGAAACATATTTTGAAATGGGAAAAAATGAAATAGTAAAAAAAAACACCCTTATTTCTCCATTTTTCTTCATTTCCATTTTTGTCTGAGAGGGAGAGAAAGACAGAGAGAGGGAGAATCACCAACTAATTGTGCTCATAAATTCAAGTGATTTGTATCCATCATCTAACTCAAATCTACACTTAACAGGGCATGTGGATTTTGGGGAAATCTTTTTACAAATCAGCTTTATGATTTTCACTGAAAGGAGATTCCTATCAAATAGCTCCTTAGGATGCCTTTAAAAAGAGCCAAAATAGTTTTTCAAAAATGGCTAATTTAAACATTACATTTATTATGTTTCTAAATGGACAAATTTCAATAAGTAATGACCAATTATGGTTTTCCTGCTGGGATATTCACTGCAATATTTTTTCAACTTATAAATCTGCTTATAAAGCAGTCTTACCCATCATTTGTAATACAAAGGCAAATGGTGAACACAACATCCCACTATTCTCATTCAATCTGGTGAATGAGGCAATAAGTGTTTCACGACTAGGGGTTTCCATTATGAAATCAAAACTCATCTAGAAAAGGTAATTAGGTGGCCCAAAGTAAGTCACTGTCTCTTCTTCAGCTAAAAGTAACTCAAACTATTTTGATTATAGAGATAAAATTAAGGGAGAGCTATATATAACGGGGGGGGGAGGGGACATCAACATATCAAATAAATTTAAACTACTACTACTACTACAACTATTATTACTACAACTACAGGTCATTTGGAGAATTCCAGGCTTGGGAAGAATATACAATCTGCTTACAAGAATGAACTCTCATTGATGGAATATCTTTCCAGCATTTTCTTTCACCAAAACCTGAAACTTTTTCTCCTCAAAATCTTTGTAATTGCCATTTTAATTTCTTGATTTCTTAGTGTATAAATAAGTGGGTTCAAAACTGGGGTAACTGTGCTATATAAGACAGTTATTATCATGTCCCGTTCCAATGAGGTACCCACAGTGGGAAGCATGTAGTTAAACAACACAGGAACATAGAGTAAGGCCACCACAGTCAGGTGGGATCCGCAAGTGGAGAAGGCTTTCTGCCAACCTCTTTTGCGCTGTGCTTTGAAAAGAAGAAAAATAATAATGTAGAGATAGGAGAGAACAATAATGATAAAAGGGCCCATAGCAACACAGCTGGTCACAATACTGAGAAGCATGAGGTTGAGCTTTGTGCTGCCACAGGCCAGTTTCAACAATGGCTTGATATCACAGAAAAAATGCTCGATGTGATTTGGACCACAAAATGAAAGGCAAGCAGTCACCACTGCATGCATCAAGGCATGAAAAAAACCAGTGGACCAGGCTACTGCTACCATCTGGACACAGACCTCTTTTCTCATGATGATAGTATAGTGCAAGGGGTTGCATATGGCAACATAGCGGTCATAGGCCATAAGTCCAAGGAGAATACCTTCACTACTGCCCAAGAAATGGAAGAAAAATAATTGGACTATGCAGCCATTGAAAGAAATCGTTTGCATTTCTGATAGTAATCCAGCCAATGTCTTTGGTACAGTTACTGTGGAAAGGAAGATGTCAAAGCAGGAAAGATTTCCTAGGAAAAAGTACATGGGGCTGTGAAGGTGTGGTTCAGCTAAAATTACAATGACAATAGCTCCATTCCCTATTAAGATGGCCAAATACAATAGAAGAAACATTACAAAGAGTATATTCTGAAGCTCCAAGTTGTTAGTCAGACCCAACAAGATGAATTGTTCCACCTCTGTTTGGTTCCCCATCTCTAAAAAGGAAGCAGAAAATGATGAAGGAAAAGAAAAAAAAAATCAACTTTGAGTTTTAAAAGAAGCTATATTTTTCTTTGAAGGCTCTAACAAAGTAAAACTGTTGGAAGAGAACAATAATGGAACTTGACTAATATCAGTAACAAAGGAGAGATTAGTGTGCGTGTGTGTGTCTAAAAAGAAGCCTATATCTGGGTAGAAAGAAAGAGACAAGGCACAGGATCCAGATATATGAGGAATACAGTTTTATTTATGTAGGAGGAATTGGAGTTCTACATCAGCAAGCACTAGCAAAATATGCACACATTATTAATGTCTGTTAAAAAGACTGAACCTCTAATCATCTCTGAAACAGATGGGTAGGGTCTTGAACTGAATGCCAGAAGCTCAAATGCCTAAATGTGTGTTACATTCAGACACCGTAAGCTTTATTGTCTTTTCCAAATTGTGCAAATCTAGCTACTAACTAGCACTTTTCCCTCATGTGAAATATGCCTCAGTGTGCCCAATGAGAGATCACTGCCAGTGTGTCTCATAAGACTTTCTATGACAGAATGGGGATGGACTCACTTTTCTTATTTCTTAATGGATACAAATTACTAATATAATATTAAAAACTCCAAGAGCCCCAATGACAAGTACTGCCTGCATCTCAAACACAACATTAATATGTATTTTCCACTAGGCAGGACTTGTTTAGGAACTTTCCAGTGTTAATCTTTGTTTGGTAATACAAAAAAATGGAAGAAAAGTTCCTACTGTTTATTGTTACTGCAGCCTATGAAGCTGCACATTGAAGGGGGGAAAATGAACAAAAGACACGTGGCTGAGTTTTGCCCAGAAACCCTAACAGAGGATTAAATAATGTGCTGCGACTATGGTAACTGCAGAAATATATGAAGTTTCTCAGTCTAACTTACAATCTGGATATTAGCTTTTTTTTATTTTATATAAATACACAATAAAAATTACCTTTCTTGGTAGCCTAGCAGAAAGCCTCAGAAGGACTTTTCCTCCAATCAGGTTGTTCTGAATTTCTAATATGGATTAAATATACCATACAGATACATGTTATAAATTACTCTGTGTGTGTGTGTGTGTGTGTGTGTTTTGGTATGTTATCATAGGGAGCTTTCCATTTTTTCTTCCATTGTTCTTTTTGCCCAGATTTATCAGATATGAAGATATCTTAAAAATACATATGCATTTCAAAGAGGGAAGGAAATAATGGATCACATTGAAATTCTATGAATAAAATATTTTATCTGATCTTTATTTCTGTTAAATATTCAAACAATTCATACCTTAATGAGCCCAATAAGTAACACTAATAATTGAGGGTAAGAATCACTTAAGAGGCAGGAAATAAGCTTCATGGATTTTGATAGGATGCAAGAAATAAACCCTCATATTTGAATATATACTCTCTAATATGTAATTTTACATTATGTGCTTGGTTTATAAAACATCCATGGCTGACTTTGGGGAAAAGAAAGGCATAATCGATGAAGCAATGTGTTCCTGTGGGGATATATCTATTGAATCTGAGAATGTAAACAATTTGTTCCACTGATTGTTATTTAAATATAGCTTTTAATGGCCAACTCCCCCCTCCCCCAAGGCACTGGAAGGGGGCCACAAATCTCTTCCTTATCAGCAATCAAAAGTGGAGACACTATCATGGTCCATATCTGGTTAGAGTTGAATTAACATTTTCAGTAGTCTTAAGGATTGGCAATTAATTAATTAATCTCTAAATTGCACTCATTGAAGAAGATCCCCTACATCAACTGCAAGCAAATTCAATAGTCATTGTACAGTCCAGGATTCAAAGTAGTGTGGGCATATTGTAATCCAGAAAGGGGGGGGGAGAAGGAGGAGGAGGAAGAGGAAGAGGAAGAGGAGTTGTTGTTGTTGTCATTGTCTCTGGCCAGTTTTGGAGAAAAAAGTTACCTACCCATCCCCATTCTTCAATTTAGACCTGGATATAATTCATCTACCTGGGCATTGGGAGTCTGTATGTCAGACTCCCATTCGAAAATGACTTTCATAGCGTCAACTGGGGAAAAGGACTGAACATGCTTGACAGTCAAGAATCATGAAGACAAAGTGGGGAAAGTGTAGAACAATGCTAAGATGTTTTCAGGATAACTTCAAAATCAAAAAGATGATGCTGTGGTAACTTTCTCCTGCCAGATCTTGCCAGTTTTATATCTACTGTATGTCATATCTATTTTGCTATATTTTATTCATCAATTTAAAAAAGTAACACTAGGAAATGTGCATTTATTTTTGATTGCACATCTCTCAGATTTACACTTTACACCTGTTACTCAAGACTATATACTGTATGTGTGTGTGTGTGGGGGGGGGGCAGGGTTCCAAGCATTAATGGAATGATAAACTCACCCTTCAGATATATTTAATACATGACTGTGGATTTTGAGAAAGTGTTGCTAATAGTGCAGTACATATAAATGAAAGAAAAAGAAAATTAGCAGGCAGTACTCTAGGTGATTCTTATGTGACGATAGAAGTATGTGTAAAAAAGTGCAAAATATGCGTGCTGCAGTGGTTTAAGTGTTGATCTAACACACTCAGTTATGGAAATTTATTAGGAGACTTAGAAGAAGTCACTGTCAGCCCAATCATTTCACAATACTGTTGCAGTTTGAAAAATTGGTGGAGGAAGTTTTATGGATAGTCATAAGGAAGAGGCAAGATATAAATCTTTCAATAGAGATGTGCAATTGTAGAACCAAGACTTTATTTAATTTCACCTAGTGAGACATGAAAGTATGTTATGGGCATGGGTATCCATGCAAGCATAGTATCTATGACCTGCCCAACCTTTCCTGATCTTTCCATACTGAGTAGCCAAAAGTATCTTTCCATATTTAAATTCCTTAGAAAATATGAAACAATCAATACTGACAGATTCATCTACCCCTAGTTATTCCCTTGTCATTGTTCGCTTTCATGCTGTTTTTCTTGGGAAAGTAAGACCTTTAGATATGTTGGAAAAAATGATATTGATTCTTAGGGAACAAAGAAGAAAAAGAAGAGTGATGAAGGAACAATGCAAAAGTCAGTTAGTACTGATGGTATACCAGATCTGACTTGCTGGTATGCTAGGGACTCTGAATCTTAAAAGTCTACTTGCATTTATGAAGTGTTGATCTATTTTTAGATAATTTGCCCTAATAAACCTATATCAAGGGAAAGGGAATTTATGGTCTCCATAGCCGAGAAGCATAGATGCTGACATCTCTCACCATAATGGTCTCTGGATGCCCACATATTTTTGAATGAAAAGCATATCTAATTTCCTAGGATTTATCTGAGCTTGTTTCTCATCATCCAGTACCTCAGACTGTCCAGACACAGGTTTATTTCTTTGCTTCCCAGCATGGGATTAAAATTTGTGGAAGAGAGAGTTCAAATGTATTTACAAGGGTTTAATCTTCTCTCTTCTCTCCCTCTCTCCCTCTCTTTCTCCCTCACGCCCTCTTCTTCTTTAGAAATGCATTTGCAGACCACTCCAGTCATACAGCTTCTGAGTAGTGTACAAGTAGCAAATAAGTAAAACTTAAGTAACATAACATTATGTAGAAAAGTGAAGTTGCCAATCAGAATATTATTCCCAGGCAGAAAGTTAAACAGGAAAAATGGGGGAGGGATCTTAAGTGCCTTGTGAAATATCAGAAGAGTAAGAGCCATATATACTGCTAGGGGAATGTTCTACAGTGTAGGAAATTTTACAAAACAGCGTGCACTCTAGTCAATGAACCTCTATTTCCCTTTGGAGTAGAATCTTCAGCAAGCCATCTATATATGGTTGAACTTGACATGCAGAGTTATATTTAGAAATGCTTCCCTGTTTTTATATGGCTGTAACTGGCTCACAAGTTGGAGCTGGATAAAGTTCTTCATGACCTTAGTTTAGAGCTGGATAAAGCTCCCCTTATATGAGTGCAGGAGGATCCAGAGTCACAAATTAACTATTCACTGGGAGGTCAATGCCATTTAGAATAACCACTGAGTCTGATGTTTCTAAATAATCCAGAAGTTTATAGAAAAACAACTCTTCTACCCTATTAGTGTTTAATCTGATTCCAGTCCTGTTCCTTGTAGTCTCCAGACACCAGTACAAGATTACCAGGATGGCAATATAAATCTAAAGTATAATTCAAATTGAAATATGAGTTTTGTCAGTGGCTTTATGGATATGATAAATAACATGCAGGAGAGGATGGAATGCTAAGAACCCCTCAGTGGGTTCAGAGTCGCCTTGGATTATGGCAGGATAGAAATGAAATGAATGAATGAATGAATGAATGAATGAATGAATGAATGAATGAATGAAAACATTGGGGCAACCATGGACTCAAACACTTGAGTGTTCCAGTCAGCTGTATGTGGGAGACTCAAACACTTGAGTGTTTGAGACTCCCACATACAGCTGACTGGAAACTCTCTCTAAGGTTCCACTCAAACAATTCACAAGAAGGAAATTCAAAAGAACTAAAGGTATATTTCAAGAGAGATTGGTTTAGACATATGTTTTGTATATACTTCCCAAAAGATAATATTGACATCAGTAAGGAGCAATGATGATTACACTGCTTGGATGTTTATTATATCACTGGAGTTTATGTTTCAGTCTGTAAATTTATACGTACTTACCATTTATAGTTCAAACGGAAGAGCTGAACTAAAAATCCCACCATTGTTATCTAACAAGATGAAGTCAAATGTTATAGTTGGGTCTTTGTCATATAGGTGTCAACGTATTAGACTAGGGCCAAAGAGAGTCATGTTCAAGTCCACCTTCAGTCAGGATGCTCAATGGGAGACTTTAGGAATAATAAGATAAGAGTCATTAAAAATTTAAATATGGCATCTCAATCTATCTGGGGATTAAAATAAAATGAATAAGTCAATCAATGACTAAAGGCTGTTCATCTAAAAAAATGTCAGATATAGTTGGTGCAATAAACTATTGTGGATCAAGTATATTTTCAGTATTTTCAGTCATCAATAAGTGAAAATCTTCCTACCCAAAATCCTTTTCATTGCCATTTTAACCTCCTGATTTCTCAGGGTATAGATAAGTGGGTTCAAAACGGGGGTAACTGCACTATATATGAGGGTTATTATTATGTCTCGTTGAGAGGATGTACCCACAGTGGGAAGCATATAGTTAAACAGTACAGGAACATAGAGTAAAGCCACCACAGTCAGGTGGGATCCACAGGTGGAGAAGGCTTTTTGCCAACCACGCTGGGACTGCACTTTGAAGAGAAGGAAAGCAATAATGTAGAGGTAGGAGAGGAGTATGAAGATAAAAGGGCCCATAGCAACACAGCTGATTAAAATACTGAGAAGCATGAGGTTGAGGTGTGTGTTGCCACAGGCCAGTTTCAACAATGGCTTGATGTCACAGACAAAGTGCTCAATTAGATTTGGTCCACAGAAGGGAAGGCGAGCAGTCACCACTGCATGCATCAAGGCATGGAAAAATCCAGTGGACCAGGCAGCTGCTGCCATTAAGATACAGAGCTCTTTTCTCATGATGGCAGTGTAGCGCAAGGGGTTGCATATTGCAATATACCGATCATAGGCCATGATTCCAAGGAGAATGACTTCACTACTACCCAAGAAATAGAAGAAGAACAGCTGGACTATGCAGCCATTAAAGGAGATGGTTTGCAGCTCTGTAAGAAATCCTTGTAGCATCTTTGGAACAGTTACCGTGGAATAGAAAATGTCAAGGTAGGAAAGATTTGCAAGGAAAAAGTACATGGGTGTATGAAGACGGGGTTCAGTTAAGACTACAATGACAATAGCTCCATTCCCCACTAATGTGGCCATATACAACAGCAGAAAAATTGCAAAGACTATATATGGAAGCTCCAAGTCATTTTTCAGGCCCAACAAGATGAATTCACCCACCTCTGTTTCGTTCTTCATCACTAAAAAAGAAGCAAATAGTGATAAAATAGGAGAGAGAACCATTCATAGTTAGGAAAGGCTGTCTGGAATGTTGAAGGTTAAAAACCCAAAAAAAGGTGAAATTGTGACAAGGAAAATGCAATTGAACTTAACTAACCAGATACCCATTAGTAACAAAGGATAGATACTAAGTTTTCTATCAAAAAAGAAACCGAATTCTGAAGGAGGAAGGAAGGAAGGAAGGAAGGAAGGAAGGAAGGAAGGAAGGAAGGAAGGAAGGAAGGAAGGAAAAGATGTAGCTATTTGAATAAATTGGGATTACAATTTTATTGATTTTGGAAAAATAAGAAATCTACAATGGCAAAAGACATGCAAGCATTATTAACATTTGTTAGCCAGAATGACTATGAGCAGTCCAACATGTAGTGATAAAATAATGTTGGTGGTCATTTCTGATGAAGAAGACTGTCCTCTGGTTTTTAATGCCATAGGTGTTAAAACGTCTAAATGTGCCAAATTCAGAAACAATCATTTTCAGTCTCTTTTCAAATTTCCACCATTCTAGTTATCAAGTGTTGGGAAATACCTTTCATTTACATCCAAGGAGAATGGTCAGTCATTCCTATTTAGCTTCCCTCTTGCTTTATCAAAGCACAAGCAATTCCTTCTCCTGGGTATAGATACTTTACCCACTTAGCTAAAATGTTTTAGAACTCATTTTTGGCCTCTTCTTCTACCTCTAAAATATACTGGCAACAGTCCTAGCTGCAAATTATTATTCTGTCCTTGAACAGTAGCTGAAAGATTAAATGCAACTGTGCCAATGTGCTTCCTACTTGTTGCTGTGATACGGTTTCAAACATCTGATATTATCTCCTGGTGCTCACAGCCTGATAAGAAAACATATATTTACTGACTGTGAAACAATATGGATCCAAACTGTTTAAATAATATAGCAGAGTAGGCTGAAGGAGTATTGAGCAATATTTGGTACAATTTATTGTGGGCCCAACCATTGTCTTACTATGAGCAAAATGCTGGACTAGACCAAATGATATGGTATTTTTTATTTTGGGCCACAGATGTTGTGTCAGCAAAGCTAAGGTAAAGAATATGGCTCAATATATCTTTTCAAAAGCAGCCAGGAAGTCTAAATGAAAGACGTAGAAGTGATTAGACAATGCCACTACTGAATTTAAAAGAGATAGGGTACACTCAATGCCTGAATGGGAAACTATTAACACTTTTCTGTAAACTATTGTGAGTTTTCCAAGGAATTATGTATTCCCTATATCTAATCAGACTTATTACTTACTTATTATTACTTATTACTTATTTTTAATCATATTTAGCTATCCCGTTTTTCTCCACTCCAATTCCATTAGCTCAAAATATCAATTTACACTGGACAGGCCCTGATTAGGAACCTCCTAGTTTTACTCTTTGATTTATGATGGAAACCATAACAGGAGGAAAAATGCTACCTTTAGCCAGGTTAACACCTGGAAACCACAGCCAAAGATAAATTGTAACTCAGAACATTTTGTACAGGATCAAATAATATGCTGTGATCTTGACAATTGCAAAAGTAACTTACAATATATGAAGGAATATATTGAAGAACCCCTTTCCCCCCTCCTCTTGTGCTCTTCATCAGATTTATTACTTGTTAAAATATCTTAAAGAACTATCTATGCATTTCAAAGGCAAAAGGAAATAATGGATGCCCTGAATAAATGCTGTATATAATATGTCCATATCTGATATCTATTTCTGTTAATATTCAGATAATTCATACCTTAATGACCCTTTTTGCTCAGTTAAGATTAATAATTGAAGATAAGAATCACTTAAGAGTCAGGAGATAAATTTCATGCATTTTGAGAGAATACAAAAATATACTCTCCTAGTAGATTATATATTTTCAATGATGTGTAAATTTGCATCATATTCTTGGCTTAGAAAGCATTATTGGCTGTCTTTGGGGAAAAACAGAACAATCCATGAAACACTGTGGGGATACATTTTCTGATTCTGAGAATGTAAACAATTTGCTCAACCAATTAAACCTATTTACCTATATGTTTAACAGCCAAGATTTCCCCACCCCCACCCACCCCAAGGAATTGAAATGGTACCTCAAATGAGTTCTGTGTTGATAGTGAAAACTGGAGATTCTGTTGTAGTTTATATCTTGTGAAGGTTGAATTAAAATATTGAGTAGTATTAAGGACTGCAAATAAATGTACTAATCTATGAACCATACTCATTAAGAACATACCCAATATCTACTGCAGGACATGCCATGCACTTCCCCAGCCAAGGCTGCAAAATTGAAGGAAGGACTTTGACGGATATCCAAAAAAAGGGGGTGGGGTGGGAATCCAGTTTCTGGCCAGTTTGAAGGAAAGACCTTTTCCCTTTTCAACATGAATCTCACTAGAATGCATCTTATAGCCTTTTGTTTTTCTGGCCATTTTGTATGGAGAGTCATATACAATAAGTCCCACCACAACCACTCCATAGCATAGTCCATGAGGAACCTCTGGACACATTTGAACCTCAATGCCAACCTTTTGTGGTGGGCCAGGTTAGAAGGAGGAATTAGCAAAGAACTTCAAAGTATGAGTGAAACTTTGTATTTTGAAATTGAAGAATAGGAAATAGCTATTATCTCAGATCCCCCTCTCCCCCTTGGTAATTTTTGAAATCAATTTCATTACTCTCCCCCCCCTGTCCACTGAAAAAAAATGGGCAAAATCACCAACTAGGTGTGCTCCACAGGGAAGCCTTGAGTCTAGGTGTTTTGGATCCAAAGGCTAAGTTCACTTTTCTGAAGACAGGGCAAATGTCTAGCTAACCTACCAAGTGTATTTGGGGGGGGAGGGGGGATCTAAAAAGCATTGATGCTTGATGTACTTAAAGCAAAGTTAGTATCCAAATAGCTCATTGGCAGGAAATTCAAAACAAACAACGGAGTATTTCAAGAGAGCCTAAGCACCTAAAATTACTTAATTAAATACATTAATGTGTTATTGAGATAAGTAAAGCAAAGATGGTTCCCCTGCATGGATTTTAACTATACCACTGCTACAGTTCTTCTCTCTATACAGCAGCCTTATCCACCAGTTGTATTATCTGTTAAATAATCAAAACAAATGCATTTCTCTGAAAGTATCACAATTCTGCTATATTACGTGCAAGCTTCACCTACAAATGGTTGCTGGCAGTTATTGATGTTAGGGGATAATTTTGTTTTGTTTCTTCTATAGAATGTATTTTTATGGGTCAATGACCAAAATAAAGTATCTGTCTGTCTGAAACGAACAAAGGTGGTTCATTTGAAGGGCACCAAGTTTGGGGGGAGTACAAGTTTCACTTGTCATAACGAACTATCATGGATTGAGTAGGTTTTCATCTTTTTCTTTCACCAAAATGTGAAAATCTTTCTGCCCAGAATCTTTTTCATTGCCATTTTAACCTCCTGATTTCTCAGTGTATAAATAAGTGGGTTCAAAACTGGGGTAACAGCACTATATATAAGAGTTAGTATCATTTCTCGTTGAGAGGAGGTACCCAGAGTGGGAAGCATGTAATTAAATAACACAGGAACATAGACTAAAGCCACCACAGTCAGGTGGGATCCGCAGGTAGAGAAGGCTTTCTGTCGACCACTCTGGGATTGCACTTTGAAGAGAAGGAAAGTAATAATGTAGAAGTAGGAAATTACTGTGATGATAAAAGGGCCCATAGCAACACAACTGGTCACAGTACTGAGAAGCATGAGGTTGAGGTATGTGCTGCCACAGGCCAATTTCAACAGTGGCTTAATGTCACAGAAAAAGTGCTCAATTAGATTTGGTCCACAGAAGGGAAGGCGAGCAGTCACCACTGCATGCATCAAGGCATGGAAAAAAGCAGTGGACCAGGCAGCTGCTGCCATCAGGAGATAAACCTCTTTTCTCATGAGGACAGTGTAACGCAAAGGATTGCATATTGCAACGTAGTGGTCATAGGCCATGATTCCAAGGAGAATGCCTTCTGTACCACCCATGAAGTAGAAGAAAAAGAGTTGGACCATGCAACCCTTGAAGGAAATAGTTTGCAGCTCTGAAAGAAATCCTTGCAGCATTTTTGGAACAGTTACTGTGGAATAGAAGATGTCAAGGCAGGAAAGATTTCCAAGGAAAAAATACATGGGAATATGAAGTCGAGGTTCAGTAAAAATTACAATAACAATAACTCCATTCCCTACCAAGGTGGCCATATATAATAGCATAAAAAATGCAAAGACTATATACTGAAGCTCCAAGATATTGTCCAGGCCCAACAAAATGAATTGTTCCACCTCTGTTTGGTTCTTCATCACTAAAAAGGAAACAGAAAGTAATAAAGGCAGGAAAAGATAACCACAGAATTATAGGAAACACTCCACATATCTTTCACAGCTAGAAAGATAGAAGTTGATAAAAATGTGCCAAGAGAAAAATAGTGGATATGACTAATTAGAAATATATCAGTAACAAAGGAAAGATAAAAGTTATTTATCTAAAGTTTACCCCATTTTTGAATATGACAGTAAGAAAGAGAGGAAGCATTGATGTCTGGACAAATCACGGCTTGTATTTTATTGATGTGGGAGTAATCAGATATTTACAATGGCAAAAGGTATGCAGGATTTTTTAATGTTTGTGACTAAGAATGAATCTGATGAGTCCACCATAGAGTAATAGCATAATGTTGGTCACCGTATCTGAGGGAGAAGAACATCCTTCTGATTTCAGAACAATGAATCTCAAATGTCTAAATATGAATGAGTCTCAAGTGTCTATCCTCCTTCAGTTTGCAGCTTCAAGAAGAGGGAAATCTTCATCTGAAAAGGATACTCAATCAATCCTATCAGCCTTTCCTCTTAATGTATTAGCACACAGGGGGATCTACCTCCTATGTTACAGATAATATGCACCTTACTTCCCTATCTCACATGTCTAAGAGCTCATTCTTGGCTTCTAAAATATACTGGCAACAGTTGTAGCTGCAGATTATTATTCTGTCTTTCAACAGTAGCTGAAGGATTAAGTGTAACTGTGACAATATACCTCCTTCTGGTTTAGCACTAGTCACTGCTGTGGTACTGTTTCACACATCTGACATTATCTCCTGGCACTCACTCTGCTGACAAGAAAACGGCTATTTCTCAATATGGTGGTGAAATAATATGGATTTATTTTAAAAAGTAGAGTAGGTTGAAATGGTATTGGTAGTTTGTAGTTCATTCTATTGAAGGAATTTAGCTATAGTTTTACCGTGTTGAAAATTCCAGCTATGTGAGTTCAGCCAGGATAAAAAGTGTGCTCACTATGTCTTTTTAAAAGCTTCCAGAAAATCTAAATGAAAGATCTATAAGTCAATTACACAACACTATTATTAAACTTAAAAGGGTTTGGATACTTCAAATATCCACATGGGAATCTATTAATTAATTTCTTTAAAGCAACCTACTGTCAGTTTTCCAAGGAATAATGAACTACTTATATCCAATCATATTTAGCTATCCTCCTCTTGTTCCCCAAATTTCCATTAGCTCAAAATATCAATTTATCCCAGACAGTCCCTGATTAGGAACTTTCTAATTTTAATCTAATTATACAAATCTAATTATCTAATTTTAATTAATTAATTAATTTGTTGGATTTCTGCCCATCTCCCCCACAATAGGGGACTCTGGGCGACTTACAAAAAACATTATAGAAAGAATAGCAGAAAAAACGATACCTTTAGTCAAGTTAACACCTGGAAATTGCATCCAAATCAGATTGCAACTTAATTTCATTCAGAAGATTTCACAAAGGATCAAATAATGCTCTATGACCTTGCAACTGTAGAAGTAACTTCCAGCATGTGAAGTTTCATAGTCCAACATGCAGATATTTTTTTTGTATAATATTAACCCTTCTTGTTCTAACAATGTAATCAATAAAAATAACTCCTGGTGAAGTACCTTTGTCTTGGCAGCCTAGCAGAAAGCTCCAGAAGGATTTGCCTTCAGTCAGATTGCTCTGAATTCCTAGTTTGGACTAATCAACCAGCACACTATGCAGATACATGGTATGGACTAACGGGTCTTGTTTTGGTATGATACCGTGATGGGGAATCCATTATTTTTTCCTATCATGCTGTTTACCCAGAGTTACCACTTGGGAAGCTAACTGAAAGAGATATCTGTATATTTCCATGATCAAAATAAAGAATGGACCAAATAGAAATCCCTGATTTAAATACTCATAGCTAATATCTATTTCTGTGAGATATTCTGACAATCCGTACCTTGACGAAACCTCTTGCCCAACCAATAATGAAAATGTAAGAGAGATATAACGTAAGAGGTAGATCAACTACATTTATTTAGATGGGTGCAAGAAATAAGCCCTCATAATAAAATATATACTAAGTGCAATAGGTTTGCAAGACATTATGAGCTCTCTTTGGAGAGGGAGGGCAAATCCATGAAGCAGCATACTCCTCTGGGGATAAACCAACTGTATTTCAGAATATAAACAATTTCTTCCACCAATTAAGACTATTTATCTATATTTTAATGGCCAAGACATTTTCCCCCACTAAAGCATTGGAATACCACCATAAATCTGTTCTGTACTGAATTAAAATTTTTAGTGGTATAAGGGATATGGGATGAATGATTTTGTACCTAAACTTTCCTAATTGAAAGTGATACCCTCCTTCAGCACCAGGACATACTCATAGCCATTACACAACCCAGTAAAGCAGAGTGAAAACACCCAATGTGGCTTGTCTTAAAGAAACAGTCCCCCTCCTTCAAATACATTTACCAGCACACTGTGGTGTTATGGAGTGTTTTGTTGTTGGCAGAGTGTCCACCATGGCCTGACTTGTGTTTTACAGAGCAGCCTGAAGAAGCTGGAAATAAGTTTGAGAATTTGGCAGCATGAAGAAAAAGTGGGGGAGAAATGTGAGATAATGTTCAAGTGCTTTGAGAAGGACTTGAAAATTGGACAGATAGTGGGTAACACAGTTCTGTTCCTAGATCTTGCCATGTTTAGTCATGCTCATTCTGCTAATTTACATTGATCAATTAAATGATTAAATCCTTGGGAAGGACTCATAGGTGGATAAAAATGCCAAAGCCAGTCTAAACATCTGGGGTACCAACCATAATAATAATATACAAGAAATTTCACATTTATCCTCTGAATATCTCCTGGGTATACATTTTCTTTTAAAAATTAAATCTTGTTTGTATTGGAAGATGTATAGAAGTGCAGGATGCAAATAATATCTGCATTTCAGTCTTTGTATTAATCTGAGAGATGCATATTGCTCAGTGGCTTTCAAATGTGGACCAAAAATGTTCCATACCTTCTCATGATGGCTTAACTCATTGTACTGATAGGTGCTTTTTAAGAAATTCCAGCTAATACCAAATACACAAAGATTAAATAAAGAGAAAATTAACCAATGGGATCTTGCTTCTTATTATATCAAGACAGAACTATCTCAAGGGGAGGGGGAGGCATGAAGGTGCAACCTTAGAGCCAATATTGTATGTTGGTGTTTTACATTCTTTTGTGAGGAATGGAAGGATGATGTGGGCAAGGCAGTATGCGCATTGCTCTTACCTATTGTCTCTGTATTGTCCTCCATTTTCCTGATCTTTCCACATGAATAGCCAAAAGCATAGAAGGTTTCCACACTTAAATATCTCAAAGACAGATAGAGCAATAGATCTTTCTTTCCATTGCAAGACTGAGAGAAGTGCAGTCAATGTTGACAGTTCAATCTATCCCTACTTGTTTCCATGTCATCACCAGTGTCCCTGCTTTCCATGTTGCTGCAGGTGGGAAAAAAAGCCCCTTGGATGCAAGGGACAGAATCCATTCCAGGGAATAAATTGGAGGGAATCAGCTAGTGCTGGTGCGCACCAGAATTTGACCACTGCAATATATAGAGTCTGAGGTGCAGGAAAGAGGTCAAATACCTTTACAGAACTTTGAATGGTGCTGTACTTACAGATCACCTGTATTATACAGATTCTAGACAGTATACAAAGAAGGAACAATAACAGTCAATCCAGCATTAGATAAAAATGGAAAATGGCTGATCAGAATCTTCCTCCTATGTGAGAGGTTTGTTGAAAAAAGAATTTTCTTAAGTGCTTTAGGAAACAACAGAAAGGTTAGGGACCATGAAAACTTTCAGGAACACTGGGTTTCATAGTTCTGGGTCAAAGGCGTGCATTCTTGTCTACACTTAACTAACCAAAATAAATACTGTAACTAAATACAAAAGTACTGGTGTGACTTTATATTTTAAAATGAGAGAACATGAAGGAGTGACAAACTCTTCTCAGAATGACAGTCTCAGATTTCCCCCCTGCAATAATTTCTCAAATCAGTTTTCATGACCATTTTTGTGCAAAGAAAAAAAGAGAGAACCACACACTCAGTGTGTTCTACAGAGCTAGCCCCCAGTCCAGATGTTTAAGATCCAGAAGCTAACATCGTTTTCCTGAAGTTGGAGCAAATGTAAAGGTGACACGGGAACTGTATTTCTAGGGAACTCTTTTACAACAAACATTGACACTTAATTTTCTTTAAAGCAAAATTGAAAATTTCATTCATG